AGGAGGGGCTAGTGGTCTAACTGGATAGTTATATGACAAATGCAAAAAAAAGGAACAGGTGAGAGAGGAAATAAACCAAGTTTTACTTTGTCACTTTGGAGGCATCAAGAGAGGGAACAAATCCAGAATTGTATTTGCAAATAATTCTCATTACTGGATTTAAACAGACTTGATGTGTGGATTTCAGCATGAGTAGAACAGGCCTCAAGAAAACAGTCTGGTTCAAAAAATCTGATGACAGTGGTTTTTTCCCATGGAGAGACACTTGGAGATGTACCGTGTACACTTTGTTACAGTCTGTGTCTTTATGTAGAGATCCGGTGGTTCTTCACTCTGTACAGCCTGAGCAGTTATGGAGTCAGATAACGTTTCTGTGTCATTTGTGTGAGATCTACTTTCTTTGTTTCCTTTTTTAAAATCAAACCAAGCTCTAAGCTCTTCTCACATGTAATATTATCATTGTACTGAACATGAAGATGATTGGTTGAAATAAATGTAAGTTTAAATTAGCTCATTTTTTGCTTGGGGTGATGCTTGAAAAAGGATCATCGAATTTTCTATGACCGATCGACTAATCGTTGTAGCTACTTCTGATCCCAGTTCTGTAACAAAGTTAATGCTCAGGGTCAACGAGTTTTCAAGCCCTTTTTTGCCTCAGCGACTAAGAGAGCAGCAACTCACCATGTGAAAAGACGGAGAGAAGAGAGAGGATAAAGGGCACCGTGACATTTCACCCTTCGCTCTGTCCCTCACTCTAATTAGGTAGTGGTGTTGCCTTAACCTGCTGGTCAGCTGATTGAGTTGAGGTGGAGGGGGTTAATGAGGGCAACCCCCACCGTCACTGAACTCTTTCTAACTTCTAAACTTGCCCACAGAGCTCAATAACGCGCCATCGACTTGATAAAAGGCACACACACATGCACACACACACACGCGCCGATAACTTACCTATTCAAGAAATGCCCAGCATGATATGCCCCCCCCCCAAATCACCAGACCCCCACCACCTCCCCATTGTTT